TTCGTTTCTTCGTTCTAAAATCTCCGATTTTTATTTCATTGTTTAGGGTTTTTGATTTCGCACTCTTTCATGTTCTTGTTTACATATAAACCCTAGAAATTTCCTTTCTTGAATTCGTTTCCATGTTCAGAAGATTAATCGAGTTAGTTCTTGCGATTTTGATTAATCGCTTCTGAGAAATCGTTTCTTTAATGTTTCTTATTGTTGTTTTTTCTCTGGATTAGCATCGAATGCGATGGCTCGCTTAAACCACACTGATTTGAAGGGAAAGGCTATGCGAATAATGTGGTCTCAGAGGGATCTTTCGTACCGTCGTCGTACTGGGTTTGGAAATCTATACGTCAAGAATCTAGACATCTCGATTACTAGCAGTGGCTTAGAGCGAATGTTTAACCCCTTTGGTGTCATACTTTCTTGCAAAGTCGTTGAAGAGAATGGACAAAGCAAAGGTTTTGGCTTTGTTCAGTTTGAGACAGAGCAATCTGCTGTAACTGCTCGCTCTGCTCTTCATGGCTCTATGGTTGATGGCAAGAAACTGTAAGTGTAAGCATGATTCTTATTCATTGAAGGTTAATGATGAAATAGTTGTTTATTTACTTGGTGTGTTTCTTTCGTTAGGTTTGTAGCCAAGTTTATCAACAAGAATGAAAGAGTTGCTATGGCAGGGAATAAAGGATTCACAAACGTTTATGTGAAGAATCTTATCGAAAATATTACTGAGGACATTCTACATAGACTGTTTTCTCAGTATGGAACAGTCTCTAGTGTTGTGGTTATGAGGGATGGAATGGGAAGATCTAGAGGTTTCGGATTTGTCAACTTCTGCCATCCAGAAAATGCTAAGAAGGCTGTGGACTCTCTCCATGGACGACAAGTTGGTAATATAACTTCTTTTTCTGAACTTAGTACTTAGTATTTATCGTCATTAGCCAGGGTTCCTTATTTTAGAACTTCCCTTTTACAATCTGCAGGGTCGAAGACTTTGTTTGTTGGAAAAGCACTCAAGAGAGATGAAAGGAGGGAGATGCTGAAACATAAATACAGGGACAACTTTATTGCCAAGTCTAACATGAGGTGGTCCAATCTGTACGTGAAGAACCTGAGTGAATCAATGAATGATACAACACTGCGAGAAATATTTGGAAGGTACGGGCAAATAGTCTCAGCTAAGGTGATGCGTCATGAGAATGGCAGAAGTAAAGGATTCGGCTTTGTGTGCTTCTCTAACCGTGAAGAGTCCAAACAGGCTAAAAGATATCTCAATGGTATATACTATAACGAAATACCTTATCTGTGCTCCAGACCAATCTGATATATACTGATTAAATCTGGACCACTCATACTGTTTCCACTTACAGGGTTTTCAGTTGATGGTAAGTTATTAGTTGTTCGAGTTGCCGAGCGCAAAGAGGATCGACTCAAGAGGTTGCAGCAATATTTTCATGCACAACCACGCCATTACACGCAAGCTCCTCTTGTCCCTTCACCTGCTCAACCAGTCCTCTCATATGTGCCTAGCTCATATGGTTACTTGCAGCCATTCCATGTCGGGGCATCTTATTACTATATGGGCACTCAGTTACCACAAATGTCTGGCCACCAAAACATCACCAACGATGTAACATTTCTCTGTATCTTTAAACATATCTAAAACCTGTCTTTTGCATTAAATATCACTCACACTTCCTATTATTATAACTCAGGTTCCAGCTGGGAAAGGTCCTCTCAAGGAGAAAAGATCATTGCACCTGGTCTACAAACACCCGGTATGCCTTCATTAGTGCTGAATCTTTCATTATCTCCATGATTTTTTATGTTGAATTGGTTCGAAATGTTTTCTCAGTTGAAAATTCTAATCTCTAAGTTGATGTTATTCTGCAGGCTTATCCCGTTGCCAAGAGTGAAGCTAAACAAAAGCTGGTCTTTAAGGGTGATGGTAACCGAACTTTAGAGGCTGCAACATGCTCAAAAGCAACAACATCTGATGAGGTCTTTAATGAAGAAGCAAGCTCAACTTTGATAGCGATGTTGTCGTTGTCACCAAAAGATAAGGCAGAGAAATCAGGAAAACAAATTGCAATGATTGAAGCTGCTTAGAGATTGGACCTGTTGCTGTGGCTTGAGTATTCTTACTGCTTAGAATTCTACTCTGTTCATTTTAACCCTTCAATAGTTTTTGCTCATAGAAATATTATATGTAGATCTTTAGATCACACAGGGATTGTGTATTGTGTCTGATACTGAAGGTTCTTAACTTTTGGTTTTCTTGGTGTAAGTTTCAATACAGTTTTAGTAAAATAGTGATGGTTTGATACATAATTCAAATAGAAACAAATGTATAACTCAAGATATGATAAAAACAACGATTTGAAAAGAAAATATAAGATAATAGATCAACCGAGGAGAGAAAATCCTTGTCCAATTAGCGCCGTGGCAAGAATCTCATTGGCAGCTTCAGAAGGATGAACACTGTCCCAGAACACATACTGAGTAGCATTGGAGCAAGTCCCTAACGATTTCGGATTGCACAAGAGTGAAGTTGTCTCGACTGTTCCTGTTCCACAACATCCTTTGGTTGCTTCCGTGAATCCTGTTTGACAAAAAGATGAATGTGTCATGGATTATCGAAAGCACATCAACAACAATAAATGCTATAACTAAACTATATATCAGTCTATTTTGGGGACTTACCGGATTTGGAAGGGTTCTGAACAAGTTCATAGAGTGGAGTGAAGATGTCGAAGACAACAATCTTAAGACCGGAATATTGCTTCTGTAGCTTTGAAGCAGCTGCGTTAAGCTTCTTGTTAAAATTTTGGGCATCTGTGTTGAGTCTTGAAACACAGCCTTTTTCATGGAAACCGAAAAGAGTTCTTGCAGCTGGAAGACATCCCGTTGGCGGCAGAGAAGTCACACCAATCTTCCTTGCTCCAATCCCATACACTTGCTGCAACATTCAATCAAAACTCATCTTTCTTGTAGTCTTCAATATTGAAAACAGAGGATAACCAAGGAAAATGTTATACCTTGATAAATGTAGAGAAGTTATCGATAAGGAAAGATCCGTACGCATCAACAGTGTAAACTTTGTAAAGCAGAGGATTCACATAGTAGTTTTGAACAAAATCACTGCTTCCTGCACTTAAGAGACAGATTGCTCCCTTTATGATCGAATCAGCTTTTTTGCTTCCTGCAATTTTTATGAGCTTGCTTTTGTATTCCTTGAAATACTCTACTTGCTGATACAACGGGATCGCGTGCTGCCAAAAAGAGAACCAAAATCAGAAAACAAAAAAAGAAACAGATCAAAGAAGAAATGTATCAGAACAAAGAACAGTCACTTACATTGATAAGAGCAGCTTTGTCATCATAACCTGAAGCTGCAGAAGCGAAATTAGCACCAATGAGAAGATTCTTACCAGAAGCTTCAGGACTTAGATAAGCTGGTGGGTACTTAGTGAAGCCTAGAGTCTCAGCTGTAACAGAGAAAAAAACACAAACACATGAGACTTTAGTTATAAACAACTTAAAAAGATAACTTGAGTTACAAGTAAAAGCTTTTACCGGTGATATCAGTCGCTAATTTGCCGTTGCAGAAACGGCCGGTGGCTTTGTGGTTAGCAAAATCACGGCCATAAGGAGGATAATCAGCTCTGAAAAGGGTCGGAAGATAGTTGTTGTTGCCGACATCAACTACAGAGTCACCAAATGTCATGATTGCTGGAACAAGTTGAGCAAAGGAGATTTGGAGAATGGACAAGGCAGAGACCAACGTGAGAAGCAAAAACGAAGACGTGCAACGATCCATGTTTTTGCTTTGGTATGTGTGAATGGTGAAGATTATATGTACTTAGGTTTATATATATATATACATAGATAAAGAGGTTTGGAGTTTAGTTTACTTCAATGTTGTATCAACTCTGAAGTCTGAACTTTATCTCTCTCTCTCTCTTATTCAATATTTCTCCAACCATTTTTGATTCGTGGAAAAATATTGAACCAGCCTGTTTTTTTTGCATAATTCGATATTATAGGTAATTTTATTAAATAAAGTTACCTTATAATGGTGCACATGGATGCCATAAATAGGATCTGGTCTGTGTTTTTAAAGTAAGGAAGATGGGCGTTGTGAGATATAGCTAGGCTAATAAATGAGAGTGGTTTCACGTCGCTTTGGATAATAATTGAACAATTAATTCATTCATATGTATATTAAACATCTTATAGTTTATCAAAAAAAAAAAAGAAATAGAAGAGCATTTTATACTTTAGTTTATGTAAATATCTTTCTAATATTAGGCTGTTCTGTTTTTATTTTTCTTTCGGAAGAGATATTTATTGCTCTCTCAGTCTCTCTACTCTCTAGCTCTACGAATCAGCGTTACTTTAGTGTAGACTTTACGTGGAAGAACTTGAAATAAATTTTAATAAATGCTAGGCCTTTGAAAGATAGTAATGTTTTATTTTATCCGCAAACAAACATTTGATTTATTTCTTTGCATTGGGGAGTTCTTTTTAATGAATATATAAGGTCTAAAATATAGTCGTTTAGAATATCACATCGTATGAAAAATGGGCATGTAAGAGTAATTAAATGGAAAAGTATTATTATGATAATGTTTATTATTTTAGACTTTTAGCTAAGAATAGTGTGCAAGCCTTGTATTTTATATATATATATATATATATATATATATATATATATATAATCAGTACTAGTAGAGAAAAATAGTAACATAATGATATAAAATAGGTAAGAATATTTAGGTTTTGAACCACGGTTTCTGGAACAAACCGAATAAGGTAATGCATTTAGAAAAAAAAAAATATATATCGTAAATAAGGTAATGCATTCATCATAGAATCGATATATAAATGAAGTTTTTCTGGTCCACTCTTTCTGTATTCCGTTATTATATGAAGCCAAAATGTTACGAATGAGGTAATCGTAAATATAAAACTCTTAAGGAAAAAAATTTGACCAATAAAGGAAGAAAAAAACATAGAGAAATTTGGACCGTTTATTAACATACATAATATAAAAAGGCAAGATCTTCTTTATAACGTACATCGAAATATATTAAAAATAAAGAGGAACTATTTATTATATAGATTTCTGCAAAATTCGACGACGATTCCTCCTCATTTATCTGTCTCTCTCCCTCACTTGGGCCTACGTGCTGTCTCCTTAGGCCCCGCCTGCCTTGCCAACTGTTCATTACAAAAATTAACTTCAGCAAATAAGTACTCTGTAAGAAAAGAATATATACTAGTATACTACTATGTAAGAAAAGTGATTAATGGTTTTTTAACTTCTAATCACATACTAATTATGTAAATCATTAAGCATAATTGATTATTGTCTTGCCTGGAAATAATGTTCAAGCTTCTTTCTCAACGTTGAGTGTTCTTTCTTCAGTTGCTGGAAAGTCCTCAAGCATCTGCGCTCGTCGCAACAGCCAAGAAAACTAATTAGGGAGTCGAAAATCTAATAAAGTACAAGTTTAAGGTTTAGTGGATAACCGCAAGTTTAACCCCTTACTATTACTTATTTTCATTTTGACCCCGTTACTTTATATTCTGTTAAAAATTGAGAAGCATGAAAGGTGTAAGTGTAAAGACGAATGTACCCTTCAGCATTTCCAGCTCTGCAGTATTCCCTGAACGTAGTGCATTCAGCTTTCACTTTACTTGCCCCAATGCTACAAAAAAAGAAAATGCAACATTATGTCACTATATATAGCATTGCTAACTACGTTCCTAAAATCTAATTCTTTCTAGTTAAGTAGATTCTGTCATTGAATCATGAATGAGATCGTAGAAGTACTTTTAATGTACTCGGTGTTACACTCTTTTATCTTAAAAACATTTTAAGTACTTATTCTTTTCAATTTTGTAAGTAAAATTATTTCTTGAAAGTTTATAGAATAGTCAAAACTAAGGTAGGAAATTTACCTCGTGCTGCTTCCCTTAAACTGATGCATGTAACTATCCAGCCGATTAAAATCAAATGATCCTCTTTCCCTGCATTGTTAAAATGATTAGAAAACTGAAAAAAGATATGGATATGCAAAAGTAGAAACCAATATATATATATCAATTACTCACAAAGCTTGGTCAATGTTATTGATTAATCGAGCTGAATCTTTGAAGTACAATGCGGAAACTTCTTCAACAAAATTAGGGTTTGCATCATCTTGGAGCTCTTCTAGCTCCATGAATTGTTCGTCGAGATATCCCTGCATGCATTTTCCCATATTAGTCATTTTCTATTTTATATGAAGAAATTCATATATATTACGAAAATACTAAGAAACAAACTAAAAGACCTGATCAAAGAGGGACTGCTTAATGAGTGCCACTTGCCTCTGCATTTTTGTTCAAAATTTTGAGAATAGATTAACAATAAGTGCGAAAAATCAAAGTGATAACTCGTTTTATCTTAGGTAGTTCGAGAGGCAATGCAATACTGAAACGTTGGACATCTGAGATATATATAGGGAAATATAGAATAAACAAAAAAAAAAATTAATATTACATCAAAAAAGAGAAAGTAGAAAAGAGAAGAGAATATATGTAAAATGATGGGAACCTGCGTAAGGGCATGCATGCTGTATTCTCAAGAAATAAAAAGAAGACGTGTATTCGTTATTATCAGCTTATTTCGATGACACATAGATGCATTCTCATCAGTAATCAGTATAATTTCTGTAACTTCTCTATATAAAAAAAAAACAAATGGTAGGTGTAGTAAAATGATCGTGTGTTGATAATTAGTTTTTCTCTATAATAATATTTTCTATTTTTTTTTAAACATAATGTTAATTTCTGTTAAAGTTTTGAATAAGAGATTTCAGTATATATTAAAGAATCCTCAATGTAGGTTGTTTAATTAATAGTAGGGTCCTTTATGAAAAAGTTAAACTACTGTGGATGATTGATCTATTGCCCAAAATTAATAAAGTAATCAAAGGATCTCATGAATGGCGAACACGACTAATAGTATTATTTAAATACGTACATCATAGAAACAGGTAAATTTCGAATGTAGAACCCTAAAAACGGGTGTTCAAAGAAAAGAAAAAAAGAACCTAAAAGCTAAACGTTGTTACTATACGAAACACACCTTTGGAAATGGGGGGAAATATATACTAATAAAATGTATGTGGACAAGAATTTTCCTGAAAGTGAAAAAGAAAAGTTCTAGATTGAAAAAAGTATACAGTTCAAGAAAATATATTCTGAACAGACCATTTCTGTCTTGATTAATTACTGAATATTAAATACATGTTTTCACAAAGTTTCCTATAATATGACTATCTTTTTTTTTCTTTGTTTTGTTATTCTTAAGGTTGTGATCTCCTGAATTTAATAGTACCAATTTCACCCACAACATTCAAACTATGTACATATGAATTTACGAAATGGGCAAAAAAATGTTGTACTTTTGGAAGAAAAAAATGTTGGAATCTAGCACTATAACAAACACTATTATTGCTTTATCTTTTATGTGGTAGAGAAGAAAACTTTTATTTCACAACAGCAAGCAATATTAAAACTGAAGTTTTTTATTTTGGGGTCCGGAATCCAATTACTTAAGGATTGTATCTTGTGGTAAACATTAAACAATTTTTTAGTTAAAAACATAGTCAAGGTTAGTATGATGATCAAGACCAGAAATAGATAGATTTCTATTTGATGTGTTTTCTTTCTCTTTGACCGCTGCAACAAAAAATGAAAAATTAGTTTCAAATCTTTTCCAAATTTCTTCCATTTATGTGTGGAGGTGAGATGGTGTTGTGTGCCTAGGAAAGGCTAGTACTCGTGCGGATGCGTGTGTTTCCTACTTCTATTTTGTAACAAAAAAAAAGTAGGAAACAAAAAACAAAGGAGAGAATAAGATAGATATCCTATCAAAAAAAAGAATAAGATAGATATATCTAACGAGTAAAAAATAAACCATAAATTTCTGTTATTGGAAACAAGGAACAAGTATCTAAAATGGAAAAACTGAACCAAAAGCAGAGCACATTAACAAGTGTGATCTAAATGATTGACACAAAGACATAAAAGATCTTTCTATCATTACAGCATAATTTGTTCCTTTCTCTATCTCTTTCTCTCTCAGACAAGCATCGTGAGATCGAATTACAGAAGAGAGAGAGATTGATCATATACAAATTTTAGCTTTATTTATTCCTCCGCCCACACCAAACCAATCTCACATAAAGGACTTGTCTACTACATATTTTCGGTGGAAGTGGGTTTAGAATATAAGTTTTATTATTGCTTGCTGTCTCATCTCGATTATTCTCCTTAATTCCACCAACCTTCCCCTCTAACAACAAATACTTTTTACCAAAAACAATTAGAAGAAACAAAAACCATGCAAAAACTTGTGAGGTTTAACACCATAAACCACAAGTGATAATATCTAATCAAATGTTTTTATGTTTTCATTTTTTATTATAAAAGATAAGATTTTTTTAATCAAAAATAAATAAAAGAAATTAAAACAAAATAAAATAAAATAAGACTTTCATAAAAACGGATGAAATTTATGACATTTATGTACATTTGTTTGGAATGTGTTAGCTTTGACAAATATTCATATATATATAAAAAAAAGAATTACCCTTTCTTTTGTTTATCTATAAGCTATAAGGCTATCTAGTCTTAATTATTATGAACTCTTATTTATCATTTCTGGTATAAAGAATAGTTAACTTATTGGGAAAAAATATGTTGAGATTTAGTTTTGATATACTATTAGGAAATTGCTGTACAATAGACTAGATTAATAATATAACGTATACCCATATTCAAGACAAAATCAGTCTCGTGATGCTTTAGAAGGCTAGCTTGTTCTATTAGTTCATGTAATTGGAAGATTAATAGATGTGCTTTTTTTTTTTTAAATGATAGATATTCTTCGGAAAGTTTTATTAAGATTTTTTGTTGGATATACATGATGCGAGAATTTGTGCTACTAAAGTTATTACAAGTAGCTATTAGCACCTAATTTGAACTAAGTATTTCGTAAAAGGCACAATGTTGACTGGTTCGTGATTGAAGAGGACTCCTTAAAAGTTCAAATGTCGACACATAAGCAGATTTTTCTTTTAATTGTGCTGATTACTCAATCAAAACATTCTTCTCAACAATTAATAGAAATTCAATAATATCCAATTATTTGAAAGACGTAACTTCAGTCATCTATCACCAGTTAAATAAAGTATATGCTAAACAAATATATTTTTATCCTCCATCACTTTCATGAATAATTACACCTCTGCGATATTATGAACATGATTCCCCCCAATCCGAAAAAGCTATAATCCTATACAATTATATTAAACAACAAATAAATCAGCCGATAACGACTACTCATAATCATAAAAGTAAAATAAAAATATAGACTAGAGTTTACATTAAATCATATAGGGAACCATCTTCCGACATAACATGTTAATATCCAATTTTTTTTATACTTGCAATCTAAAAAATAATCGGGATATATAAGATTAGGCGGAAAGTAATCGGATTAGGCGGAGAATAATCGGATTACTGATTTTTTAGGGGATTAGTCATTAATCGAGACGGATAGGGTGGGCCTAGCGATTAAGCGGAGAGTAATCGGGGCTAGGCGGGGATTTTTAGAACAGGGGTTGTTACAGATGAGGCTGCACAACCACGGCGAACAAATTTAATTACTATTTGACAAACAAACTGGTGACAAGGAAACCATCATAAAGGACTTGTTTGACCATTTGTTAGAGTGAAACATATTGAAAGATCGGATCAGTTTGGCATTGTTTTATAACTTCTTAGGAAATTTTAGTACAATTTGAGTGAAGTTAGAACTCTAAGATATCCTAGGTAGCTTACTCAGATCACGGTGGTGGGTACCCAAGATATTAGATTAGATGTCTAAGTCCCTTATATTCCCTAAAAGACCACCATGCCTTTACCTTTAGAGTTAGAGAAAATTTTCAATAGAATTCCATTTAATACCTACTATAATCATTGTTTAGTCTCCAAAAACATTTTATCCTCCATTCCACAATTCGTAGGACTTAGAACAGCTCCAATGGGAGCTCTCTTCTAAGTCTCTCTGCTTAAAACTGATTAAAAATTGATTAAAATTAAATCTGAAAACATAATTGAGGAAAGAGCTGGTTCTCTGCAGAAGGTTTTAGGAAATCAAGAGAGACGCACACGTGTCACTTTTTAAGTGGTAGACGATTTTTAACAAATAAAAAAACATGCTTCTTCCATTTATTTTTCCCGACAATCTCTCTTTCTCTCTTTTGTCGAGAGCGGCGATGGCTAACACGAGATTTTGTCCGACGATTTTGGCGATTGATGATAGATTTAAGGAAGAAATTATGGTGTACGAGTGTGTGTTCGGCCGGATTCGTCATCTCTAGAGACGCTGCTCACCATCGGTAATGGGAGATTAAGCAAATCGTAGATCCATAACTTCCGAATCAGAGAGTAATCGATGAAGGAAGCTCCAGTTTGTTTCTAATGGTATGAATCTAGTCCTTTCCCCCAGGAAATCCAGAAGCTTAACCTTATGTAAATTATGAAAATTTTCTGAATTATCATTCCTAATGAGTATATTTTGCTAGTTTTGTGGTGGTGAATTGAATTGTTGCAGTAGATAGATCCGTTTCATGTTCTTCTTACATTGTGTAATCTTTTATTGCCCAAGTCAGGTTTTTGAATAATTACAATGTAAAATGTCATGAATTGAATGTTTTTGTTGTATCAATTGATATATCCTAGTGGTGATACGTTTGTGACTTTGTTCCTTTTTGTATTAATATATGTGGTGATACGTTTTCATTGTTTTTGATGGGATTATAGTTTGCCTAGATTGTAATTTCTTTTTCTTGTGGGAATGGTATCAAGCTATCTTTCATCTTCTTTGTGAAACCTATCATAGGCTTGCCATTTACTTTGTTTGAACAGGAAGTGCCTGAGAACAAGAGACGTTTATCAATCGTAAAAGGCCTTGTCATAGCAAGGCGTAATGCTGGTCTTAACTCAACATTTAGAATTAGAAGGCTTTTCGGTGGAGTGGGCAATGGTGTAACGTCAAGCTTGTGCAACTACTTTAATGTCTCTGCGCAATGGTGTTCATTGGTTGTAATGTTTCTAGTACTCTCTTGATTGATTGTACATTTTCAATGTCTTGTACCGAGTAAATCAAACATGTATTGTAAACAAAAACATATATGTATTGTTTTACAAAATTGAAATTTTTCCTTAAGAACTCCACCATTGGAGAAGACAAAATTTAAAGACTCCAATTCAAGTTCTTAAATTTGATAAAAGCAAAAATTAAACTTAAAAAATGGTGAGAACCCTTGAAGGGTTCTCACCATTGGAGATGCTCTTAGGTTAGTTAAACCAAAATTTAGAATCGTACCATGTATACCATCATTTATAAAGGCTTAATTCATTGTAAACATAGGTTTTACTCTAGTGATAGATATCTCTTTCTTGTGACACGGTTCGCTAAATACTGTCGTCTTTAACCATGCATTTGTGGTCACATAAAATTCTATAATTTTAAGTTTAGGAAAATTGATTAGAACTACTAGCTCTCTCATTAGGAAATGTAATCCAAACTCATTCTTCTATTTTTTTCATCTAACTAACTTCAACTAGTTTTCTCAATTGTTAAAGAACTAAACACATTTTTCTCTGGACAAAATTTGCTTAAAACATATTTCTATGTATCAAAAAGTATTTGTTTTAAATGTATCAACCGCACTAGTCGATGTGCGGCCATGCATAAAAGACTGTAATTCGATAGCGCTAGGTACAATTGACCACTGCAAACGCTTCTAACGATATAAAATATAAATCATAAATGGTGACACAACCAAGATTGATATATGTTCCAAAACGTAAGATAATTACAAGAATAATCCTGATATAAAAGCCGTACTAGTCGTCTAAGAAACGAAAGAGACGGTAGATTGAAGCACAAGAAAGGAACATAATAAAAAGAGATGAAAGATAGTGTGAATTCACACACATTTGGAGAAATGTTGACACATTTTTGGCATTAGAGAGTGGCTCATTTGGAATATTTTTAGGTACTTGTGGGTGCAGAAATTGCAATCATTTACAAAATTCGACTTTAGGGTCCCTATTCATTTTCTTAGAAATGATTCCCAACGCAGCATTGATTCTCTCTCGTCTCCTGATTTGATTTGTGCTGCCATTGCTGAAAGCAGCTTCACAACAAAGAACAAATACTCTTCTCTCTTTTTCCCTTTCTTTTCTGCTTATATCCATTTTAATGTTCTTGTCGAACATTTAACAGTAAAATTGGTCGAACGGTAGCAACAAGTTTATGTTTTGTAACATTTCTTATTGTCGATTCTCTAAATTATATGCCTTAAAACATTAAAATGAAGAGTAAAATTGTAAATTACGCTTAGCTTATGTAAGTATGACGCGATGCTGAGAAATGCGTTTGACTGTTTGGTAAGTCTATTGTTACAGTTTGCTCTGTTTTTTCATTGTAAGTACTTGTTCTCTGATTCTCTCTAATGGCTTATGGCTTGGATTGTTTCGTCCTAAACCAGGAACATCCTTTGATTTAATCCGGTCAGGGTCTTCCTTCTTCATTCTTTAACACAATAACAAGGACTTTTCAGATCGCCTGAATCGCGCTGTTGCCTTTACTCAAATCTGCGCCAGTAACCGAGCCGTTTGAGTGAAACGCTGATGGCCTTGAGGGCTCTAGTTTCAAAGATAGAGGGGAAGGGGAAGTTTCACTTTCGTGTCTTGTCGCCATTCCTATGCTAAGCTGAGACATACCGACCAGCTCGTCCATGTTCACACGTTCTTTAGCAAATCCAGGTTTTGGTTTTAGGACCTGATGCTGCTGAGAAGAAGTCTCAGCTTCTAAGGCATGTTCTGTACCATGAAGTGAAGTGGAAGTCGCAGGTAGCCAAATTGTGTAAGTGATTGGAAAACAAGGTGGAAAGAAGCCGCCCGGGACTACCATTGGTGAAACCCCATTTGATGGTTCTATAGTTTCTTCAGTTTTTTCCTGTGGTGGCGCCGTGGCTACGACCACTTCAGATTCCGTGGTATTATTTAGTGAGAGCTCAAGTGAAGGAAGGTAGATTTTGTTTTCAGGTTCCTTGCTTGGAGAGAAACGGTTTAAGGTCTGATGACTCTGGTCTTCCGTTGGCGATGAATCGGTAACCTAAAGGCAGCAAAACAGAGGAGACATTCAATACAAGTTTCCAAACATTCCCACAGAATAACAAAAATCATGAAGAAAAGATACTAACCATCTCATCGGTAACCATGTCGAATAGGCTAGACCGTCTTTTCCTGCGGCTGGAACTAGTATGGCGAATGAAATACTTCTGAGCATGACTAGCCACTTGTGTAGGAGTTCTTGAAGTTACATAGTTTCTCGAAATACCGCGCCAATCTCCTTTCCCGAGTTTCTGAAGACCTACTAAGAATAGCCTGTGTTCCTCCTCAGTCCAAGGAACACCTGAAACCCCAATGTACAAATAAACCATATCACATTCAAGAACCCCAAAACCTTTCATCTTCATACACATATGTCCATAAACTAAAATTCAACAATATGATTAACAAATGAAATGACTTTAGTAACCAATGAAGACCAACTTAAGAATCTAAACAAATTGTTCCCAATAATTCCACTAACTAGTTAGACATAAAACCATTCAATTTCTACAATAACCGCAAGCAACTTCAAAGCTAAAACCTTTAGAGCAAATTACAATTTCAAAGTTCAAAACTTTGCTATCAATTTGCAATCAGACGAACCAAGATTCTCACATTACCAACAATCGATTACAAAAATTGAAAGATTTAAAATGTAAAGTCGATTCCTTTACCTCTCTTCCTCTCTCCACGACGGTGACTAGACCCAGAACCATGAGCAGGATCATCAGATAGATACCCTTCGTTATGATGCAAATTAGAGTATCGGGCATGATCCGATAACGGCGAATCATTAAGATTTGACGTCGCCAGAGGAGACGACGGAGATAAACGGTGGTGCGTCGCCGCCGCCGCCGCAACAGCCAATGCCGAGAGATTACCCATACTCGCACTCTTTTTAATAATCGACCCATCCGTTAACCTTACGCCGAATAACTTCACGGTGGAGGAGGAACAAGAACCTCCACCACCTCCGCCACTTCCACCGCACGTGCCACCACCACGCGTTGGACACGTGCGTGAATTGTGCCCATTGTTACTACAATGCGAACACCGACGAGTCATTCACACAAAACACAAACAAACAAAAAAAGAGAGAACCTTTTGGTAATAAATGCTTCGTGAAAATAAGATTAGCGTATACACAAGAAGATTTTAGATAGAGATAATTGCGACCATAGAAAAAAAAAAGATGAGGACTTGGTTTTGATTTCTTAAGGAAAGAAGAAGGTAAGGTTAATTTCGGAATTTTGTGTTTGAAAGACGACGAGGATTGTGGTGGATCGTACGTTGAATTCGTGTTTTAAATTGCTATTCTAAGCTTTTTGTTTTATCCTTAATCTTACCTGGAAATTATCGTTTATGACAAAGAACTAATTTATACTATCGCTTCTTTCTTTGTGTAGGATAATATATTTTTATAGATACAATGTTACCGACAAATTTCAGTTCTAAGATAATGAAATAATTGAATTTAAAGATGTGAGGATAATATTATTTAGCGTAAATCTGTCCCAAAAACGCAATAAACTACAGCTTTTATTTCAATCCACTTGTTTACGCGATCTATCTATATTAGAAGAAGCACGTGTTCTTACAAGATACACGTTTTGAATAAGAGATGAGACAACAAGTGGTTTATATTTAAAGAGATTGGATAATATCACAAGCATATCATACACAATGTTAATTAGTAGTAGTTCTTTATTTAGTAGGAAATGTGATTGAGATTTGAACAAGCTTTCATAACTTTGTCCTTTTATTATTTTTTACTCAAATGGCTTCATGATTTCACGTTCTTAGAAGAAGTATACTCCACAAAAATAAAACAAACGCATTTGACTTCTAAATCCTCTAAGCTATGTTGGAGTTTTACGAGGAAGGCAAACACCAAACATGAAAGCAAGAGTCAAAACCCACTAGAAAAATAGGATTTGATTTGGGCCAATAAAATTCGGGTCGTACCCATAAGTCGGAGATTTCTTGCAACATAAGTAACCAAAACTGACCGTCTATGGATGATAAGACCGGAAAGAGGAGGGTGAGAAGTCCGTAGAAAGCTCCGGCAAATTTGTGTGTGTGTATTCTTAATGTAGTTAAGTAGTTTAGATTTCATAAATGGATATATATGCGCATTCATAAAATGGATTTGATGCGTAATGAATTTTTATTTTGCTAAAAGAAAATACATAAAAAGCCAAAACAAAATACATAAAAGGTCAAAACAATATTTTTGTCCAAGGGTTCTGTATATGTTGGGCCGGCCTGTGTGTTTTTTTCCTCGCATCGTTTTCACAATTTGATCTTTTAAAAAAACTTATGTTTATTTTAGATCTATAAAAAGTTTTAAGATAGTGTACAAAACGGATATAGTAACTGTTAGGATATACATGAATTATAGATCTTACATAAATTATAATTATATAGTCGTCCCTGTAAAATCTCCCCAGAGTCTATTTGTGTTGTACACTTTACTTACAATCAATTAAGTAAACATGTCCCGCAACTACACTCTATCGTTGTTGGAAGTTGAGCGTTCTTATGCCGAAAGCAAACATAAAAGCAAAAAAGAGGGTAAAGCCCACTAACACGGTAGCAATCGGGACGATGAAATCTGCATCGTAGCCATAGTGGTTTTCAATGTACCACTTTATCGTCGGATCATTTGCCATACCCGGAACTTTAATCGTATCCTCCACGTCACCGTACTGCGAAACAATCAATCCGTACACAGTCCAAGCCACCGGACAGATCCAGTAATACCATATCCACCATTTCGGAATTCTCTGCAGGAGTAAAGTAAAACCAGCTTATGATAAAATCAAAAGAAAAAACACTTAGGGTTTAAAGCTTTCTTGCCAGAAAAGCAACCAAAACTAACCGGTCTAGGGATGACAAAACCAGAAAAGAGGTTGAAGAGTCCGTAGAAAGCTCCTGCAAAAACGGCTGCGACTTGCTGGTTCGGGGTGAGGGCAACTGTCATCATCCCATAGTATGTGAAGTAGAGGAAGGAGACGAATGATACGAAGTAAAACCAAAAGAATTTGGCCACTGTCCATTCGAAACAGAGCATTGCGTATATTATTAGTGTATAATATGTCGTCTGGATCAGTACATACGGTATTTCACATACCACCTGAAGCCATCGAATTTTTTTAGTTAAAGACTACTTCAGTTACTATCCATCAAGGTTTCTTGTTTGTCAAGTAACTAAAACGTTTCTAGTTTGATCTCACCTGTGCTAGGGCATAAGGTAAAGCAGAGTACATTTCAGCAGCTCTTTCTCTATAGAATACAGTTCGTTCCACGGCTATTAGCGGTTGGACAGATGAGGAATTATTTATGCCCACGAATAAGACCGCAGCATACATTGCTCCAATAACCTTTGTAAGATCATTAGCACTTTCCCTATTGTTGAAAAACAATTGTATAGAGTTTATGTAAGTATGAACTGTGATAATAGATTTCAGGCCTGTATTTGATTCAAGTCATTGAACAAACCTTTTTGTGCCAACTTTCCAGAAAATTGATCCGAGCATGACAGCTGCAGCTAACGTAAAGAAAAATCTGGCTAGATTGTAGTCAGGAGTTCTCCAGTAAGTTATCCACTGCTTCCATAAACAAGATTTGAATTGTCCTAACAATGATTGTGAGAACCGCGTTGAGAAGTAGAGATCGCTTGCTCCTTGTGGTGGTGTGCTTAGTTCCTTAACAAGATTCTTGTTTTGTCTACGCCAAGAACAATTCTAATTGAGTAAAAATGTTTGGAATGATCTTAGCTTTGAAGATTAGGTTTAACTTACTGATATAAGGATGATGTTTTGTAATGATCAGCAAAATCTATCTCAAGCTTGGCTTCTGCAGCCATTGAGCTCACTTCTAACATCCATGTCGCCGGATTATACTTCTCTTTAATATTTGGAACTCCATGAATCGCCTGCGGTTTCTCAATAGAGTACTGATCATGAAAGTTCTTACATTTTAATATCAAAATCTTGACAAACTAAATGTAGAATCTGACCTGGAAATATTTGATAATCTTGTGAGAGTTTCGACCTAAAGGACCAGCGTAAATAACTTGTCCTCCTCTCTTCATAAGAAGAAGTTCATCAAAAGTTTCAAAGATATCAATGCTAGGTTGGTGGATTGTGCAGACCACAGTTCTTCCTGTGTCAACAGTGTTCCTCACCGTCCTCATCACAATCGCTGCAGCCCTTGCGTCAAGACCAGAGGTTGGCTCATCCATGAAGATTATAGATGGATTCGCCACTAATTCCACTGCAATTGTAAGTCTCTTCCTCTGTTCTGTTGATAACCCTGTGATCCCTGGAAGCCCCACCACCGCATCTTTTAGACTCTCTAGCTCTACTAGCTCCATCACTTCATCCACAAATCTCTGCAAAATTTGGTGTATGCATTAGTCTATGACTTGAGATCATATTATAAATGGTGTGAAGTTCAAGAAGTGTTACCATTTTCTCAACTTTAGTGACTTCTTTTGGGAGACGTAGGAAAGCAGAGTAGATGAGAGACTCTTTGATAGTGACTTGCGGTGAGTGGATATCATTCTGTTCACAATAACCAGAGATTCTTGCAAAGGTTTCTTGTCTTTTAGGGAAACCGGAGATTCTGATGTCTCCTTCGATGTATCCACCGGTTTTTCTGCCCGCTAAAACATCCATTAAAGTGGTCTTACCAGCTCCACTAACTCCCATCAAAGCTGTTAGTACACCTGGCCTAAAGACCCCTGTCACTTCCCTTAGCAGCTGAAGCTTATCCTTGGAAACTCCTTGTTCCTTCATTTCCTGTTTTTTTTTGGTTATACATCATTATGGTTTTAATGTCAACAAGGATTTGGGATTTGGTGTTACCTTAGGCATGTCGACGTAGTAGTTTACATTGTCAAAAGACATTGTGAGAGGTGTAAAAGGTAGAACCATTCCTCTTTTCACGCTAATACTCTTACTCTTTAAGCCATTCTCTGCTCTGTTTTTTGCTCTGTTTTCCTCTGCATTTTCTTTTGAAACAACGGCTTGCTGTTTCTCAAGTGCTGGCATATCAATAAAAAGTGACATTGTTTGATTAAGAAGGAACAAAAATAAATTTCAACGTTCATGTTCTTCCATAGTGAATTTAATTTCCCATGTTCTTTATATACTACATTTGGGTCTCAAGTTATTGTAGATATATGATTCTAATAATAAAAAAGGATCAAAACAATCATTCAATACAAGTGTACTTACGGTTTAGGAATGTCAGAGCGAGGGTAACGAGGATGTTGAAGAGAATCGTAAACCCGAGAATGCCTCCTACCCCGATCCAATACCAGTTTGGATCCGTGAAAATATCGAAAATCTCAAGAACAGCCAACCCTAGCCTCGTCGAGTTATCAGAAGACTACAAGGAAAGTAAAAGAGCGTTGCTTAGTTAACCATTTGATCAAGATATAAGAATTTCTATGAGACATTTTAAAACTGTAAGCAGAAATATCTGTAGGAGTTTACCCGTTGATTCATCCATCTAGGAGCAAGCATTTCATTGACAGTTAAAGCATCGTAAGTGTAAGCCATTGGTGAAACCCAGTAAGCCCATTTCCACCATTTAGGAATCTCACCTATTAGCCATACATCATCAAAACACAATTTTGATTTTATATTATAAAACCTTCAAATTTTAAGAAATCAGTTTTATAGTTATTGAGATATAACCTCTAGGAACAATGAACCCTCCAAGCAAGAAGAGGAGGAGGATAACTAGAGATCCTCCCGTATTAGCAAGAATCATCGATCTGCAAGTTGCCGCAATGAATCGAAATATACCACCAGCCATTTGCTGTGTCAGAAATATCACCAACAAATGCTTCAAGAACCTGCCCAAGAAAAAAAGATTAATTTTTTCATAACTAGCATTGATTAATGGAAACAACATTCAAGTCCCTTTTGATATTTTGCATCTCAAATAACCAATTGAGATAACATCACTCGTACTAAGTCTTAAAAATTATTTATATGCACAATGTTAACACGTTGGAGATTCAAGAATCATCTTCACCTGCTGAGTTCTGGAGCAAATCCGATCATGTAATAAGTAATGCTGACCCAAACAACGGATTCGAAGATGGAGATAGGAATTCCCAGAAGAAATGTTGGGAGAGTGAAGGTCCAAGGAGGATGAAACAAAAGGTCTCGTTGCTTGTAGAACACGGGAAGTCTCTGAATCATCAAAGCAAGCTCCGCGAATCCATTAAACATGTTAACGATCATGGAGAACATCAACGCACCAATGTAGACGGCTCCATCACTCTCGTCCTTTGTACCCATCTCCGTTCTCAGGTACACGGTCGACGCAATCAAAGCCATAATGATAATTTGAACAGTCTTGGTAACGTAGAAGAAAG